GGACCAAGATTGGCTGAACCGTATTGCACGTACAATTCTTCCACCCGAAGGCCGAATGGAATATCAGGGGGGTGTAGCCTCCCACATGGACTACAAGTATTTTAAGACTGCTGACAGGGGAATCTTGGACTTCATCAAAGCGAAGCTTGTCCTAAATTCTCACAAGGGGACTGTCCAAAAAGACTTAGTGCTCCTTACCTACTGCATCCGGCAACGCAAGACTATTGACATTGGCCATATCATCAACGGCAATATCCGCGAAGCTGCTGATGCGAAGGGTCGATTCTACCTCGGCCACTCCTACCTCATTACGCATCTTTGCCAGCTGGCTGGGGTTCCTATTGATGAATCCTAGGAGGTCAAGTTAGCTCTACAAGCCTTCATATCTGAGCATTACCTAGAGAAACGTTACAAGACCGGTCAGCAATTCGGGGAAGAGGAAGATGATGAAGATGATGAAGGGGGCGATGATGCGATTGCCCCACAGATGGCTACACCTGCATCTTGTGTTCCTTGAAGCACCACGGCACCCGATGGATGTACCTTAATCACTTTGTGTGGCCCAGTCCACTTGGATTTTAATTTTCCTGGGAACAATTTCATCCTTGAATTGAATAGAAGGACGTCGTCTCCCGGGACAAATTCTCTCTTTAGAATGTGCTTGTCATGCCACCTCTTGGTCTTCTCCTTGTAGATTTTCGCATTGTCATAAGCTTCGAGTCTATTATGGTCTTTCTTCATCCCAAATAAACTCAAATCCAATGTTGATTGAGTAAAATCCTTATATCAACCCCCTTATCTTTCAGAGCTATTATGGTATTGATAAGTTGCCTTTTTGCTCCCTTATTCATCATTCGTATTTCTATTCTAAAGATTTAAAGCTATAGATAATTGTGTCATTCTCTCCCTTTGTTATCATTCCTTACCTTTTTTTCCTATAAACCGTGACCCTTAGCCCCATTACAAGCTTAATAAAGACCTATTTGATCTTTACATGCAATGTTAGTTCTATTCAGGAGGAGTAGGAAGGGCAAGCCTAGGATGTTTTTCTGATGTCGTGTTTTGCATAAACCTAACTGAGTACGTGTGCACACTAGATTTCTCACTACTAACAATCTGGGTGCTTGTATGTTGGCTTGGGAGTAGAACGCGGGTGCCAAGCAGAGATGATTCTGGAAGCATGTGTCCTGCAGTGAGTTGGCTTGTGGTTTGCTAAGTTGTGCACGAGAAATTGGGAGCGATCCTTGTGTTTTGACCTGCGGTTTGATTCAGTGTTTTGCTTGAGGACAAACAAAGTCTTAAGTGTGAGGGGGTGATGTTATCACATCTGTGCATGTTTTTATAGCTTTTCTGATTCATTTTAGAAACAAAGTTATTGAATCATGACCATTTATTACTTGTTTTTCTTGCTTTCTCGTTAGATTATGTTTTTACACTTGTTTTGAATACCTTACGGTGTTCGGTAGTGTTTTTCTTCACCATTACAGGGTGAGCGTGAGAGCAAGGGAAGAATTTCAAGCACGAAATGATCAAAAGAGGAAGAAGTTGAAGCATCAGCAATTCGACGCGTCGAGCCCATGCCTCGACGCGTCGAAAAATTCCAGTAGCTTCAAACATCGCACATTTTGGAGGCTCGACGCGTCGAGCATGATCTCGACGCGTCGAGATCGCGGAGAGACGTTAATTTGGAAGACTCCTAAATTGATGCCATCGGGTTTCTACTATAAAAAGATCATTTTCTATCAACCCTAGTGCCTCTTCTTCTGTGATTTCGGTGTTTTGAAGGCAATCAAGAGCAAAGCACAAAGAGGACCAATTTGAAGATTTACAACTAGCTTTGGAATAGAGAACTAGCTAGAAAGATTCGGGAGAACTCTTTCACTCTTACTCTTATTCTCGTTGTTATTTGTTTATCTTTAAGCATTGAATTTACTGTTATTATGACCATGAGCGGCTAAATTCCTTAGGGATTTTTGGGTGAATTTGTTTATGAACCTATGTGCCTTGTTCGTTAATTTCTTAATATATTTATGTTTGGTTTTTATGATTTGTGTTGCAATCTTGTCTTAACCTGTTGTTGTTGGTAATTAAAGGCCTAAATTACTAGCTTCATAGTCATATTTGTGTCACCAATGGGAATTGGGGCATAAATTAGGGCACACACGATTGCACCTAATAGTTAGACCTTGGGAAAGGGGAATTTATTAGGGGAAGTTAATTCTAGATTGTTGCTCATCGGGAGATGGTAGTAATTAGGAATAATTGAATGCTGATCTTCGATCTTATCGGGTGTTTAAGCCACGGGAGTGGAAATTCACTAGGAATAGAGATTACGGGAGTAATTCGATTCCACTTTGCATTCCCACACAGATCTTAATTCCAAACCAAATATTACAAACGTTAATTGGCACTAGGTGATTAAACATTGTGATCCCAAGAATCTCATTTTGCTCTATTGTTTACGAAACCTTAATATTTGTTTTATTTCTTGCTCGTTATTTTATGCAACCAATCAACCATCAAGTTTCGATCAGACTAGCTCTTATAAGTAAGCAAGTAATTAGGGATTAGTACCCTATCTCCCTGTGGTTCGACAACCCGAATACTCCGGATATTATTTGTTTGCAAATATACTACGCATCAACATGCTCTATAGGAGTGTGGGGGGCCCTTAGGGTTGGGGATTACCCCTTTTGGGGTAAGAAAATGACACGAGTGATATTTTCATAGAAAGTTCCAAGTCTTCGTCATTTATGACACGCTTTCTTTCTTGGAAAAAAAATAATATAATGAACAGTCTTGACATAAAATAAACTTTCTAACCCTTTTAACATTCTTTATTAAAAAAAAACAAAAAAAAAAAAAAAAAAAAAAAAAAAAAAAAAAAAAAAAAACAAACCTTTTTTTGAATATTCTACACTATATGTGAGGACAACCCAAAAGCAAAAAAAACTATGAAATACACAGTTACTCCACTTAGATGATGAACACCCAGACCATCGCTACAACTTCACAAGAGGTAGTAAGCCAATCCCCAACCCTATTCTGATCTGATCTGCCACCTGGACTTTCCATTGGTGACCCGACCCATATAACGCTTGCATACTTCTTGAATATACATAAAAGATTAATTGCAGATTGCCAGATACACAAGGTAGACCTTCGTATAATTTGCCAAGCATCTCACTTCTTGAATATACGAAGGTTCTTCTCCCTGGCTCTTTGTCTCCATGGCCGGAGACAAAGGGATGGTCTCCGGCTATGGACATGCACTAACCTTTCCGATTGTGTAAGGATTAAGGAAGAAGCCAAGAAGCAAGAAGCGAATTCCAAGAAGGATATTGTCACATACTGAAATTTAGTACACAACGAAAGAAACATTTCGAGCAGGCTTCTGGCTCTTAACTGTATTCGAGTCATGACAAACTCCAATTTGCACACTTTGAATGTGTGAGGACTCCAAGAAGAATAGCTTTTTTTTTTTTTTTAATGCTACTTGACTCTATTACAATGTAGTATCCAAGAAGAATAGCTAAAAGACCACAATAACAATATATTTCTCTGGTTTCTCATCTTCATATACAATAACCTATTTATACTAATTTACTAATACCTATAATAATTAACCCACCAAAAATATACTATTACCTATACAAGGTAATGATACATAATTTTCCTATACTAATTTAAACAGAATATTAACTATCCCACTAATTAAGTTATACAATCCTAATTATTCTACAAATTCTAGAAACTTATATAATTATATTTAAGGGCGTATCAGATACTCTCTCACACTGTACTTCACTCCATCGCAACTAAACGCCAACTTTCAACTTGAATGGCAAATATTGTAACACAAACAAGTATAGGGAAACTTAATTAGATCCAATCAATCAAGTATTTTACCTGTTGTGTTATTTCGTTTCTTCATATTTCTAATTCTCAGAAAAACAGAAGATTGAAATGAAGTATTGGCAGATAATTCCAAGCTTTGGACTCCTCTCTTTTTTGAAAAACCAATGTGGTTGCATTTATATATGAATCGAAATAGAGTCAGGCGGGACCCCGTCCCAGTACATAGCTATAGAATAAGTAAATGCAGTTGATGCTAAATCATGTGCCATAATGTTCTGCGATCTAGGAATAAAATTAACTGAACAGAAATTAAACGTAGCTATAAATTTTCTGCACTCATCAAGAACATAGCCAAGATATGACCGAGGTCGGATAGTCGAGTCGAGGTAGGTTCGTAAAGTCTGGAAATCTGTGTAAATTTGAACAGACCATTCACCACGCTGTCTGAGCCATGATAAAGCCTCCTTACATGCTAGCACCTCGGCCATAAGGGGTGAGAAGCAAGCTTGTGGTGGCACACAGTAAGCCGATATATAACTTCCAATGTGATCTAACAAGATCACTCCGGTCGTGGCTGTCATCCAACCGGTATTGAAGCTTGCGTCGATATAACACTGCTTTGGGTGTGTCGGATGCAGCACGGCAGTGGGTGAATGCGGCAGACCAGAAGCAGCTGGATCTGGCACTGGTGCGGTGATAGCCTCGGGGAGCGACCTAGCGTTCACGTGGTTCAGCTGCTGGGCGGTGGCGGAGACACCATGCACTGCTTGCCATGCTTTCGCCGTGGTTATAGCTGACAATAATACTCTCCTTGGCAACGGTAGACATGCATCCCATACCGCTTCGTTTCGGGCTCTCCAAATGTTATATAGAATTCCAGCTGCAAACAACATTCCATTAGAGTCTAGAACATTCAAGATTGCCCTAAACCATTCATGAAAAATATTTGTGACAACATGGGGCAATGGAAGGCCAGATTGGGTCCATATGGACTTTTCATAATCACACAGGACTAACGAGTGCATAACATCTTCATTGATTAATCCACACATGGCACATATCGGATCAACATCCACCCTTTTTATAAGCAAGTTGTTGGTTGTAGGAAGGATATTACTTATAGCTCTCCATAGAAACATTCTTCATTTCGGTGGGATTCGTAGCTTCCATAGTGTGTTCCATTTATCAAAACCAGCACTACTCTCATAAATGCCCACTATGTGCCTGTACCCATTCTTGACCGAGTAGCATCCATTGGGGTCATCATACCAATACCATGTATCCTCATATACCGGGGAGATAGGAATTTTTAATATTCTTGGCACATCATTTGGGTAAAAAATATCTGATAAAATATGTGGGTCCCATGTACCAGTCGTCTGATCTATTAATCCGGATACTTTTGCATCCAATAATTGTGGTGGCATCTCCGTTTGGACCATAGGGTCCATTTCATCCTGCAACCAGGGATCATTCCATATTAGAGTTGAGTTACCATTTCCAATACGGCGTCTCACCCCACCAACTATTAAGTCCTTAGCCGCCATGATGCTCCTCCAACAATAGCTAGGATTATTTTCAAGGCATGCTTCGTTAAAGGAACGTTTACAGAAATACCTGGCTTTATAAATGTGGGACACCAAGGAGTCAGGATTGGTAAGAAAGCGCCATGCTTGTTTTCCTAACATAGCCAGATTAAATGCTCTTAAATCCTTAAATCCCAAACCTCCATATTTCTTAGGGATACATAACTTATCCCAAGACTTCCAGTGAATACCACGGTCTGTCTCAGATCCCCACCAGTATTGGTTCATTATGCGTTCAATAGCAGAACATACAGATATAGGCAGCAAAAATACACTCATTGAAAAGGTAGGCATAGCTTGAGCTACACTTTTCAATAATATTTCTTTCCCAGCCTGCGTTAGGAGTTTCTTATTCCATGACCCAATTCTCTGCTTGATTTTATCCTCGATATAGGCTGTTTTCATATTTCTTCCCACAAAAGCTGGTAACCCCAAATACTTTCCAAAATTCGGAGCCTAAACCACTCCGAGGGTCTGTGCCACCGTATCTCTGTCAGACACACTAGTATTTCTACTGTAGCAAATACTAGACTTCTGATAGTTGACCATTTGCCTAGATAAGCTCTCATATATAGTCAAAACATTCTTAATCTCTGTGGCTTCCTGAACATTTGCATTAAAAAATAGTAGACTATCATCAGCAAAAAACAAATGAGAGATCGGGGGCGCAGCTCGCGCCACTCTACAACCATGAATTAAACCACTTGTCTGTGCCTGTTGTAATAATAGGGAAAAACCTTCTACACAGATAATAAATAGATACGGGGATAAAGGATCTCCTTGCCTGAGACCACGAATGGGTACAATTGCCTCAGTAGGGGATCCATTAACCAGAAACCTGTAGGAGACTGTGGTGACACATAACATAATCAAATCTACCCATCTGTTATCAAAACCGAAGGCTTTAAGCATTCCTTTTTAAAAAGGTCATTCCATGCGATCATATGCCTTTGCCATATCCAGATTAAGAGCCCCCCCATCCACCAGCACCACACTATTTTCTGTTCAAAAAATGTCCCACCTCGGCCGCTACTAAAATATTATCAGTAATTAGCCGATTGGGTATAAAAGCACTCTATGTGTCCGAAATAATACCCTCCATCAGGGGTTTCATTCGCTGCGTAATCATTTTAGCCATCACTCTGTAAACAACATTGCTTAGGGCTATGGGTCTTAGATCAGACACTAACTCTGGCACATCCTTCTTCGGAATTAACACAACATTCGTTTCATTCAATACAAGGGGGAAAAGTACGTGTATTCAAGCAATCAACAATATAGTTTGCCAGATCTCCTCCTACCACATCCCAGAAATGTTGATAGAAACCTGGATTCATTCCATCCGGGCCTGGTGCTTTATCTGGGAACATTGCAAACAGTGCAGTCCTAACCTCATCAACCCCAAAAGGCTGAAGAAGTGTTTCATTTTGTGCGTGCGTGACTTTTGGCGTAACTTTTTCAAACAGATTATGCCCAGAAACAGGATTACTAGAACTAAACACATTGGCAAAATAATCCATAACAACATCCTTCATATCATTCCCCTCAACCCAATCCCCAGCAGTATTCATAATGCGAGATAAAGAATTTTTCTTTCTACGGTGAGAAGCATACCTATGATAAAACTTAGTATTGGCATCTGCATTCTTGAGCCAATGCTGCTTTGCTCTTTGTTTCCAGTATGCATCCTCCTGGGCCTCCATATTACTCAATTCCACCTCCAACCGCTGGAATTCAGCTAATGAGTCTGAATCCATCCGTCCCCTAAGCCGCAATTGATCTTTCCGGAGCTTCTTAATCCGCTCACCAAACTTATGATATCGGTCTCCCCCCCCCCCCCCCCCCCCACCTAGCCAACCGATCACCACAATGTGCAATACAATCCTGTAAGCCATTACTCCTCCCCTCATTCCACGACTCCTCTACTACAGCTCTGCACCCCTCATCATACAGCCATGCCATCTCAAATCTGAATTGTCTTCTGTGTGGCCCCCCACTCCCTATAGGATCATGAATACCTAGGAAGATGGCGGAATGGTCTGACTTTCTCATTAACAAATTTGCCACTCTGGCTCCGGGAACTATATCACACAACGCATTCATGGCCAGGACCTTGTCCAGTTTCTCTTCTATCCACCGGGCCGTGCCCTTTCCCTTCTCCCATGTAAACTGATACCCACTCATCGGTAACTGAGATAGTCCACAATACTCTACGGCATCCCCAAAACCACGAAGCAGATAATTCGGGTGTGGATTACCCCCCCCCCCCCCCCTCTTTTCGTATTGGAACAGGAGCTTATTGAAGTCACCAATCATGACCCATGGTAGATCAGACTGCGACTTTAATGATTTAATGAGATCCCATGCCTCCCTGCGTCTGTTTCTGTCCGAAAAGTCATAGTAACAAGTCATCCGCCACTGAGGGAAACCAGTCATATTGATCTCCATGTCAACATAATTCTTCGAATAACTTAAAAGTCTTGCCGTGCTATTTCTCCGCCACAATAACGCCAGACCACCACTCAAACCACTATTACTGTCCAGATTTACATAAAATAACCCCTCAAATCCAAGTTTTACTCGAATACGTTCCGCATGATCCCGTCCTACCTTAGTCTCCATTAAAAACACAAAGTCAGGCTTCTTTCTGGATACTACGTCCTCAATTTCACGAACTATCTGTGGATTGCCCAAGCCACGACAGTTCCAGCTTAGCGTACTCATTAGGTCGGGCGGGTCTGGGAACCAAGACCCGCCATCTGCAAGTTTTTGGACACGCTGTTGTTTACCACCTCCTCACTCACCGATAAGGCTTCTCCGTCCACATCTTCCACCGTAACAGCACGGCGCCTTTTGGACGAAGCCACCACATCCTCATCTAATTCGTCCCCCCTTGTTGCCATGTGCACATCTGCCATTCCATCCCCACTCGACAATTCCATGCCAGGCTGCACAATCAGTGGTGGCGGCATAGCTCCAATCGGCCGTAAGAGCCACGACGCTCTAACTGGCCTCGGGCCTTTGGCCCTTCTTGCTCTCATCCAGGCTCCATACGGATAAAGTTCTGGCTTGATCCCGGAAACCCTAGCCTTCACACAAAACTTTTCAAGATGTCCTAACATACCACAGTAGTAACAAAAGTTATGGAGGCGCTCGTACTTCAGATTGACCCATCCCCAGGTTTTATCCCGGCATATAAGCTTCATTCTGCGCTTGAGCAGTTGGTCCACTGGTACCGCAACACGCATACGGTAGAATGTTTTCCACGGCCCTCCAACCTGGCGCTCATCACAACTTAATAAACGAACCAACATAATTACCAACCTGCTCCAGGATTATGTTAGACGTGTATCCCATAGGCAGGTCATAGACCTGCAGCCACATATCCACAGTATCAAGCTTAACTTCCCCCGGCAGAAAACCATCACAAACCTGACGGCAGACCAACGTGTGATTCTCAAAAGACCATGGCCCCTCCTGAAGCACCCGGAGCATATCCATCTCATGATAAAAAGCAAACAGGAACAAGTTCGCATGCAACTCCGTTACCCGTAGACCTATCACGGGTTGCCATGCCGAGGCTAAGACCTGCCGCATGTATTCAACCTTGATCATCTTCTTGGTCAGAAAACGACCAACAACCGAATAAACCTTTACCCCTTCTCCGTCGACCGGCTGGAAAGTATTATCGGCTGTTACACCTTCCTCCTCATCCTCAATCCGCATGTCGCACCACCGCTCGGACAGCATGTCCTCATCACGCTGGGGGGAACCGCCATGTTGCTGCTGAGACGTCGTGGCCATGGCTGAGATAGTCGAAGCGCGTTCTGATCAGCGGGTTCCTTCTTCGACAAAACGATCGACGAAAGCACGGTAAAAAAAAAACCTAGTAGGGAGAGATGGAGAGAAACCCTAGTAGAGAGAGATCCGCCCAAAATATGATGAAATATGTTGAAGAAAGCAATTCTTTTGGGACACGCCTTCTACGACTATAAACACCCAACCTTTTCTTAAACTTAATTTCTAATCCTTTTTTAACATTATATATTCAATTCAATTCATTTATTGTATTTGTAACCTAGGTAACAAATGATTACAAAGAAGTAAATTTGTGATAAAGTGAAGAAGGTCAAACAAAAGGATATAAAAACAAAAAATTACACTTTGTGATACATCATATATGTTAGTGTATGTACATTATGAATATACGTACAGTACACGTTAATCCTAAATAAAATTGACAATTTATGTGGCAATTTAATGTTGTTTTTTATTTAGTAAAAACCTTGGACTATTTCTATAATTGAAGAAACTACATCTACGGACAAGAAGCTATCAGGATGGAGTCAGCGCTATTTGAGTGGACAAAATAAGAGGTGGTGATCTATTCATTATTTTGAGTGGCTATGATTGACTATTCTTAAGGGAAAGAGTTAAAGTCTGCTACTATAAGGGGCCGTTTGGTTCACGGAATGTTAGATTACCTTAGGGAATGTTAGATTACCTTAGGGAATGTTAGATTACTGGGAATGTTAGATTACTGGGAATGTTAGATTATTGTGTTTGGTTAAAATTGAGGTATGTAATATAATCATGTTTGGTTTAGGGTTATCTTATATATATATATAGTATCCTTAACATATTTTCATATATTTTAATAAATTTAATAATTAAATTAAATAAATAAGATAACGGTATCATATATAATTACATGATTTTGAAATATTAACTAAAATCTTAAACTTGAAAACAAAATTATTTTATATGCTAACATAACGTAATAAAATATATATAATATAATTACAATAATAATAATAATAATAATAATAATAATAATAATAATAAATATATATCTTTAAATAATTAGAATTAAAATGACAAAATTCATAAATATGCAAGGTTATCTTACATTACCTAACAAAATGAAGGGAATCACATTCCCCTTCAAAATCCTATGTGGAGGGAATGTTGCATTCCCTAGGAATGTTATATTCCCTTACAGCACGTTTGGTTCACGGAATGAATTTGGAGGGAATAGGAATGCTATTCCACATGGAATGGAATAGGTAAGGAATGGAATATGAATTGTATTCTGTTGTTTGGTTTGCTGAAGGAATAGACTTTAGTAATTGTATTCCAGTGTTTGGTTGGTTAAAGTAATAGAAATGGAATAGGTTTTAAAGACATAAATACCCTTATACATAATAATAATAATAATAATAATAATAATAATAATAATAATAATAATAATAATAATAATAATAATAATAATGAATATGATTATGATATACTGAATGTTATATATATATATATATATATATATATATATATATATATATATATATATATATATATATTTGTATTTATATACATGTATATGTATGTGTGTGTGTGAGAGAGAATAACAACAACAATAACAATAACAATAACAATAACAATAATAATAATAATAATAATAATAATAATAATAATAATTATTATTATTATTATTATTATTATTATTATTATTATTATTATTATTATTATTATTATTATTTGAGAATAACAATAACAATAACAATAACAATAATAATAATAATAATAATAATAATAATAATAATAATAATAATTATTATTATTATTATTATTATTATTATTATTATTATTATATTATTATTATTATTATTATTATTATTATTATTATTATTATTATTATTATTATTATTATTATTATACAAATACATATTTATTTTTATATGTATTTTCTCACTTATCCCACATCGGTTGGAGAAGTAAGGAATGGAGTCTTGATGCTCCTATAAAAGGAGTCTCAAGGCTCCATAATTTCAATTGCAATACTCATCCGCTAGGCAAGCTTGCAATGCCCATCCGCTAGGCAAGTTTGCAATGCCCATCCGCTAGGCATGCAGATGAGCAGACTACTTAATTTAGGAGCCAAGACTCCATAATTAAGGAGTCGTATACAGTTATTTTTTTTATTTACATATATATATATATATATATATATAATAAACTGTCACGGCCGGTGTTTTGAGAAATTACTTTTTTTTTTCTCAAAATGCCAATTACAAATGCTACAAAATGTGTGTGTGTGTATATATATACAATTTATTTAAATATATATATATATATATATATATATATATATATATATATATATATATATATATATATATATATATATAGATTGATGGATAAAAATTATAATTAATTAAATATATACATTTATATAATACACTATATTTATTAAATATATATAAATATTATATAATGTGCAAAGGGTATTTTTGGTATTTGTGATATAAAAGTTATTCCCAAGGGCATGGGAATAGCTAATACCAAGGCCCCCCCATAGGAATGGCTATTCCCCTTGCGAAGGTAATAGCTCATTCCTAGGCATGCTATTCCCATGACAAAATGATCCAACCAAACGATGGAATAGGTCTATTCCAAGGAATGTTATTCCATTCCTGACCTATTCCATGAACCAAACGTGCCATTAGAGAAAATGAACCAAACATAGGAATGTAAGGTCGGGAATGTCACATTCCCTTGGTTATATAATATAACCTGAACCAAACGCCCCCTAAAAGGAAAACACTTTCCTTATTTGGACAACGAATGAATGATCTGAAAACTTAGAAGAAAGAGAATTTTGCAATTTGTGGAATTAAACTGAGCTGCACAGACTGTACATGGTTCAGCTGAAGTTTAGCTTGAAGATTGTTAGGGCATGCACGGTTCAGTCCTGAATAGGTGTTATGAAGAGTTGTAGTTAGCGGTAAAGGCTGAGAGCCATTTGTACTTACCCCTTGTAATACTCCTTGGTGAACATCTATAGTGGATTGGGCAGACGTAGGTTGCCCCACAGACGTAGGAGAAGCGCTGCGAACTGTGTAACAATTCTCTTGCGTTCTTATTTTATTTTATGTTTTTAATTTCAGTTATTTACATTTGATTAAACAATCTAATTAATGAACGGGATTGTCACATAACATAAAATCAAGTAGATTTCTAAGGTTCATCTTGTATTTAAGATTCACAGAGCAATTTCAATATATATAATTAAGCACTAGAAATCTTAGGGTAATACCAATTAAAGTAATTCAAAAGATTTCAAGTTTGGACTATTTGTCTATCTTTCATAATTCTTAATTAGTCTCCTCAAATTTCTTAAACAATGAAATTAAGACTTTGAAAATAAGCCTAAAAAAATTATATGCAGCGAATCAGCACTTAATCTTCTGTCTCTTTTGTCAGCAATTCTGCATATTTAAACTTCATTCTTGAACTCCATGGTCGTCTCCCTTATCTCGGACAGAGTTCAGAAATTGACACTTCATTTACCGTCATAGGTTGTTCCAACTCTGGTTCTCTTGGTATCCCCTCCCTTCCACCATGGTAAAATGCAGGTTCACGAGGTGGTGGCCAGCTATTAGAAGAATAACTGCTAAGCATCAACATTACTTCTGCCATTGTAGGTCTTTCAACTGCAACATCTTGAACGCATAATAAACCAATATGAATACATTGGATGACTTCGTTCACCTTGTAGGACTTGGCGAGGACCGGATCAAGTATTTCCAATGGTGTGCCATCCCTCCACTGTTCCCAAGCCTACAACATTACAACTTTGATGTTCATAATAAGTGTTGGTTGCAATATACTATGAAGGATTTTGAAACAAAATATAATGCTTGTACAGTTTAACAAACTTATCATATACAAAATATATGTATTTAATATGGAAGCTAAGTAATTTTTACTCACATAGCCGAGAAGGTTCACTGTTCTATTTGATTGGTCGATGATGCGATTTTTGTTTCCAGTAATAATCTCTAAAAGTATAACGCCTAAACTGAAAATGTCGGACTTCACAGAAAACTCTCCGTGCATTGCATATTCAGGAGGCATGTAGCCACTACAAAACAATATTATATACATCAATGCAACACCTTAATATCTGGTGTTTCAAATTTTAGTATTAATTACATTTTCTGCAATGATAATTGGGCACATCCTAATGTAAATATATGCTATTGTCATCAACGAATGCATATAACTTAATGTGATTAAGAAGCATAACTTACTATGTTCCTACGATTCTGTTTGTACTTTCTTCAGTTTGATCAATTTCAAAAATTCTTGCCAGGCCAAAATCAGCTATTTTGGAATTCATATTTGCATCTAATAATATATTGCTTGCTTTGAGATCACGGTGTATGATTTTAAGACGAGAATCTTCGTGAAGGTAAAGTAATCCCCGTGATATTCCTTTTATAATCTTGTAACGTCTTGACCAATCCAATAAATATTGTTTGTCAACATCTGAATATTTCAAAAAAAAAAAATCCAAATTACTTTGGTGGGGAATGACTATTCATGATGATTATGAAGGAAGACTAAAAAAAGTTTTGATCTGTGAAACTAACCAAATAAAAAGTAGTCAAGGCTTCCGTTAGGCACAAATTCATATATGAGTATCTTTTCTTCTCTTTCGGAGCAATATCCCAATAGCTTAACTAAATTTCTGTGTTGAAGCTTGGCAACTACTTCAACTTCATTCTTGAACTCTTTTGCTCCTTGTCCTGAGCTTCTCGAAAGCCTTTTTATAGCTACTTCTTGTCTACTAGGAAGCATTCCCTGATGATTATTATTTAGTTAACAAGAAACAATTAGCTAGCTAGGATGGACTAAAATGAGAATAATATATAGATGTTGTAGACATAGGAGAGCCAATCATCAAGGATTTTACCTTGTATACATAACCATATCCACCTTTACCAATCTTACTCTGAGGGGAAAAATTATTTGTAATTGCTTGAATAATAGAAAAGTCATATTGCAAGGACTGATCCTCAGTTGAAATCCCAGTCACATCTAGAGGAAAGATGGAGATTATTACAAAATTATTCATAAATATTATTGTATTGTAAAAACACATGCAGAAGATGGATGGAATACAGAAACTTAGATGGATCCGAATTGAATCAATTAATCTGGTTCGATCTTTACCTTTTGTCTGTATTTTCTTAGAATTTCTAATAATTCTCAGAAAATAATAAAGGAGTGCAATGAAGAGTAAAATCCCAATGACTGGAACTACAATGGCAACAATAATCACGTTTGCAGGAGAATTGGAACTTCCATGGTTTCCTGCATCTATCACAGAATCAGGTTAATGAATATATATAATGATGAAATTAAGATGCACGCAATATAATGCATGGTAACTAAACTTTCGATCGAAAACCACTGTACTCAAACACTGAATCTGCAATCTTGAACGAGAAAATTAAAACACCCTCTATCAGCTCAGATAGGTTTACATTTTACCATCAAATCAAACCTCCATCTATATATGTCTACTATTATCTCACCCAATTCACCTAGGACCACTCATTTAGAATGGATACTATCACACTACATGTAATTGCCATCATAATATATATATATATATATATATATATATATATATATATATATATATATGGTCGCGTTCTGGTGCGAACGACCGCCCATGAGCAAATTGCGAACCAATCAGTGCGCGCCACCTGTCCTTCGATACATGTAAATGTGTTATATGTACAAGTAGTTGGTGCACCTATGCAAGTAAAAACTGCGGGATAAAATCACTTACAAGTGCACTTTCCCCTACAAGTAATTTTGCTCGGGTGCACTAACTTTCACCTACAAGTGCATGTAGTTTGTGCACTTATGCAAGTAAAAGTGCTGGATAAAATCACTTACAAGTGCACCTATTTTCACCTACAAATGCATGTAATTTTGCCTTGTTAACATCCTAGATCTAAATACGTGGCGCGCGCTAGTTCGTTTCGTTCGCACAGCTAGCTAGGCTAAAGTTTTACGTACCTGGGGAGGGACTGGGATCAATAGTAGGGACAGGTGGTTTAGTAGGAGGAGGAGGACGAAGAGGAGAAGGAGAAGGAGAAGGAGAAGGAGGAGGAGGAGGAAGAGGAGAAGGAGAAGGAGGAGGAGAATGAGGAGAAGGTGAAGGAGGAGGAGGAGAAGGAGGAGAAGGAGCAGATTGAGGAACAAAAATAATATGGACCTCTTGAGGAGGAGGAGGAGGAGAAGGAGAAGGAGAAGGAGGAGCAATAATAGTAGCCATTGCCTGCCGGCCTGCTGGCCGGAGAGATTGCTAGCTGAGCTGATCGAAAGGGAAGAACCAACAGGTAGCTATTTCAATAGTAATGGAGATATGGATTATTGATAGATTGATGTTGGGAGCTAGCTAGTTATTAGCTAGGCTGGATGACTTCAAAGTCTGTCATGAGCCAACAAACGTTATCTAGTTTTCTTCTTCTTCTATCACACGGTTCTCACTTCTCTGAGCATACACATCAATTTGATTTTTGTAGATTTTTTTAGAAGCGAAACAGGAGAGATAAAGAAAGAAAGAGAAAATGGAAGAAAATGAAAAATAAAAAAAGGAAAAAACATTGTCAGGCAAAAAAAAAGAAAATTGAAAAAAGATATTTACTACGCACACCCTTTGGGCGCCTAGCTAGTGTGCGTTCAACGGATTGTTATACCCTGCACCACGGCGCGCATAGCACTGTGCGTTCCGCGCCTTCCAAAATGATATCGTTTTGTAAGTTATGTAAGGAGTTGACGTGATTTATGTGTATTTGTTTATATAATTATGTACATTTTTTATACAATTATGTACATCTTTTTTATACAATTATGTACATTCGAAACAGAAAATTTATGTCTATTATGTTAAGAGTTGATGTTTATTATTTAAAAGTTTATGTATATTATGTATTATGTTAGATTATATGTATTATCTTTTTAAAAAAAGTATGTGTATTTTGTTATACAATTATGTACATTTATGTATACAATTATGTGTATTCTAGTATAAAATTATGTACATTTTTGAACATGAAATTCTTTTTAAAAGAAAATTAACCGTCAACACAGGGTAGCGAAATTTCAAAAAAATAAGGCATAAGTGTCAAATAGACCCATCTACTACTGTGAAGTGCTCAATTTTCACCACGAACTAAATTAAGTGTCAAATAGGTCCATCTACGAGTAAAATTTGTTCAATTGACTTTTTTTACAGATTAATAACAGGTTACCTATTTAATTATTCAAATTAAATAAAATAAAATAAAACAGCCACCGGCTGTCTCGCCGGACAGCCGGTGGCTGCCACTTCAAAGACAGCTGTGGCTGTCCAGCGAGGACAACCGAACAGCCACGACTGTCTTTGAAATGGCAGCCACCAGCTGTCCGGCGAGGACAGCCGGTGGCTGTATTCTTTTTTTTTTTTTAATAATTTTTAAATTATTTTTTTAATAATTGAATTGGTAACCTGCAAAAAAAAAGTCAATTACCTGCAAAAAAAAAGCTAATTGAACAAATTTAGTAGGTAAGTGTGGTTAATTAGCCTTTAATTTAGTTCATGGTTGGAATTGAGCACTTGACAATAGTACATGGGCCTATTTGACACTTCTCCCAAAAAATAAAATAAAAAATTTGAATCGACGTCGTTTTGCATCAAGGCGCACAATGCAATGCTATCGCCGCGTTCAACACCCAGGGCTGCAATGCTTAGGGAATCCTCAATAGTTTGGGTTTTTTTTCAATTTTTTTGTGGGCTCCAACATCCATCACATCATCCAGTATCTCACTCAATCACAAAAACTCTTCTTCCCATTAATTTTAAGTTTTTTCACAACTTGTTGTAGACTCACCATTTATCTCCATATTTTAATTATTTCTTTATTTATTTCATTTATAAATTTATAATTTTTAAATAAGGATAAATGAATGAACATACGTAAATAATGCTATGAGGTAGTGCTTTTATTGCCAAACTTAATTAAAATAAACATAGTACGCCTAGTTAATTAATAAGATAGTTAATTGAAGTAGGAAACTACCATGCAATGTCCTTGTTTGACAATCTGCAGTTAGCGGTTAGCGTTAGCAGATTTGACCATTGAATTATATCAACGATTGGTAAAAAGATATTTGAAAAAATTAACTGTTTAGATTAACATGTTAAATAACCTAATAATGATAATAATAATAACAATAATAATAATAATAATAATAATAATAGTTTTAAAATAATAATTATACCTGGGATATTAACGCCATCCAAACGTTACTGCCGGCAGATATCGTCGACGCCATCCGAGCAGTCCCGCCCAGCTACGCCGCAACGCAGGACGATGCCATAACTTGGCCTCACTCAGGTACGGGTTCCTTTACTGTTAATTCGGCTCATGCTTTGATTGCAGGTTACCATGACGAACCCACCAACCTTGGGTGGATGTGGGCTCTAAAATGTAAGGAGAAGATCAAGATGTTCCTGTGGAAAATGATGAACAATGGGCTCCTGATCAACGAGGAAAGACAGAGACGCGGGCTGGCAATAGATGGCAATTGTCCGAGGTGCGTTGATGTCAGCGAATCCTTGGACCACGTCTTCCGTCGCTGTGACAAAGCGGTGGACTGCTGGAGCATTGCTGGAGCACCAGCCTCCTTCGATCCCTCTGCCATCACTCCTCTGAAGACTTGGGTGCGGCTTAACTGTGTTGGGCAAGAGAGAAACGTGTTGGGCATACCATGGAACAACCTCTTCCCGCACGTCCTCTGGAACCTTTGGATTGCCAGAAATGATTTTATCTTCAACACCAAGGATGTCGGGGCAACAGACATTATCAGACAGGCTAAAGCTGAAGCAGAGGAAGCCAGGAGATACCTTTTTAGGCTTGCGAATATGCGAGGGGGCACGCAGAAATGGATCCACTGGACACCTCCTTCGCAAGACTGGCTCAAAATTAACACGGATGGAGCCAGGAAATCTGCCACAGGGTTAGCTAGCGCTGGTGGGCTCATCCGAGATTGGCATGGTGGATGGATCACCGGGTTCTCTACTAAAATAGGCCCGACCAGCAGCTTTATTGCCGAACTCTGGGCTATGCGCGAGGGGTTACGCCTTGCGAAAAGTAGAGGTTTCAATAAGATCGTGGCGGAATCTGATTCGGAAGCACTAGTGCAAGCCATCCTTAACTGCTCGAGGTCTAGTCCGGAAGCTGATACCTTAATTCTTGACTGTAAGAACTTGATGACAAGCTTCCAAGCTTGCCGGCTCATCCATGTCCTACGAGAAGGAAATCAATGTGCAGATTTTTTAGCCAACTTGGGCCAGATCACTACTTGGGGGACTACGGTTTGGCCGCAACCACCAGAGGGATTAAACAATCTCCTTGCTCGTGACAGCCATTCTGTGGCTACTAGAAGGATCTCTTAACTTTCTGGAGCGTTTAGCTCCTCCTTACTCACCAAAAAAAAATAATAATAATAAAAAAAATAATAAAAAAAAAATAATAATAATAATAATAATAATAATCAGCTCCCCTTAGTTTTGTCACTTTTTTCACATCAGTGGGAAAAGTGGCATGGGAACCTTGAAGCTCCTGTAATTGTATAAAAGGAGCCTTAAGCTCCAATTTAAAAATTAAGCTTGCTCATCCGTTGATGGACATGCAGTGAGCCAACGAAACTGGCTCTTGTTATTCAAGGAGTCGAAATGGCTCTACAATAAACTTATTTTTATTTTTTAAATATAGAGATGTTTTGGAGAAATCATTCTCAAAAACGTTAAGTGAAAATATTGTAAATTGCAATGTTTGTATTTTTAGTGGTTTGAAACAAATTTTTGATTCAATCGTTCAATATCTTTGGGTTGCAATGTTTGTAAACGCTTGGTAAATTGCAATGTTTGTAAACGCTAACCAAACAGTACACTTTCTTTAACATTTTGATCTTTAGATTACATCATATTTGTGAGTAATATTATATTTCTGTACATAATATTATATGTGGATAGTGTTTAGTTTGACTTAGCTATCCTAGACTGTAGGAGTATATTACGTTAGCTCTATCTCCTTAGCTTGTATTATTGGTTCCTCTCTGTTCAGTTAATTCAATTACGATTATTCTCTCACCCATCTGGTATCAGTAGCGTTAGGATTCCTGTTTTTTCTCCCCCTATCGCAAGAATGTCGACCAACTCATCTGAGCGCACGGTGACCACCACCACCGCTGCATCTCCGATCACCACCAACCCTCTCTCCTCAGCCCACCATTTCGTGTCGATCAAGCTGACGGCACGGAATTTTCTCTTTTGGTGGACACAACTTGTGCCATTCCTCCGTGGCCAGGGTCTATTGGGCTATGTCGACGGCGAACACCCGTACCCACCGGCGGTCATCCCCGCAGCTCCGTCCGATGCGTCGACCTCCACCGGCGTCACTCCGTCCGTCGCGCCGAATCCGGCTCATGGTGCCTGGATATAACAAGATCAATCGATCTTGTCGCTCCTTATTTCCAGCTTGTCCGACGAGGTAATGTACCTCGCTGTTGGCCGCGCGACATCCCGGGAGGTGTGGCTGTCCATCACAGCGGCGTTGGGGTCCTCCACGCGTGCTCGTTGCCTCAACCTCCAAGCCCAGTTTCAATCCCTCCGACAAGGGGATAGTTCGCCGGCGGAGTACCTCGGCAGGGCGCAACTTATTGTCGAGGATCTCTCATTGGTTGGCCGGCCAATCTCTCTGGACGAACAGAACCTCTACGTGTTTAGGGGGTTACGTCCAGAATACCGTGCGATGGCAGCGTCGCTTGCAGTTTCCGGCGAACCCGTGACAATTCCGCAGCTAGCTGATTTTCTGCAGGCACAACAATTCATCTTTGCAGATGATTTCACGGCAGGTGGCGCGGCCTTCCCTGGAGATGCCCCGACTGCCATGGTCGCTGGGCGTGGGCGCAGAAATGCTGGAGACTGCAGCAATGGTTGTGGCCGTGGTGGTTCCGGGCGCGGCAACAACCGTGGAAGAGGTGGCAATAACTGAGGCAGAGGCGGTTCTCCCCGATGCCAAATCTGTAGATCGCACGGGCACACCGCGATCTACTGTTTCTGGAGGTACACTGGCCAACCGGCCGCGAATGTGGCAGTGGTCGGAGATGGCGTTGCGGCTCCAGAAGCTGAGGCGTGGTATCCCGACACCGGCGCGACGTCACATGCGACACCCGATTCCACCGTGTTGACTCATTCCGAGGACTATACGGGTGGTGAGGTGCTCAGAGTGGGAAATGGTACAGGTTTGGTTATTTCCAGTGTTGGTCATGCCTCTATTCCCACTCCGTCAAAGTCATTAAATTTATCAAATGTGTTACACGTTCCCGACTTGTCAGTTTCATTATTATCAGTCCAACAATTTACTGCTGAAAACAATGTGTATTTTGAATTTCACCCAACTTATTTTATTGTGAAGGACTCCATCACACAGGCAGTAATCCTTAAAGGACCGAGTTCGGGTGGTCTATACAAGCTTACGGTTCCCCGGTCACATCTAGCTTTTTTGAGTGCTCGGGCGTCATCCACTATTTGGCATAAGCGGCTAGGCCACCCTCACGATCAAGTGTTGCGGCGTGTGCTTCCGGATTGCCCCGTTGAGTCAAATAAATTCAGTTCGTCAAACACTTGTTCCGCATGTCACATGGGAAAGTCGTGTCATTTTCCGCTTGATAGATTAGATCGTGCTAGCAATAATGTATTAGATCTAGTTTATACGGACATTTGGGGGCCTTCCCCCGTTATTTCTGATTCTGGGTTTAGATACTTTGTTTTGTTTGTGGACGATTGTTCACGGTTTACTTGGTTTTATCCGCTACGCGTAAAGTCCGATATATATAAAGTGTTTGATTCTTTTCGGGTGATAGTTGAACGCTTGTTTTCGCGTTCTATAAAATCCATCCAATCTGATCTAGGGGGTGAATACCGCCGTCTACACACAGTTTTTGAGTCACTCGGTATAGTGCATAGGCAATCTTGTGCCTACACGCACGAACAGAATGGTAAAGTGGAGCGCCGGAATCGACACATCGTTGAAACTGGTCTGACTCTACTAGCGGCTGGCTCTGTCCCGTTGAAATATTGGGACTTTGCTTTTGAAACCGCTACCTATCTTATAAACCGACTTCCTTCCTCTGTGTTACAGTTTCAGAGTCCACACTACAAACTGTTTAACACTCCACCGTCATACACGTTTCTAAGGGTTTTTGGTTGTCGCTGCTACCCTTATCTCCGTCCCTATAACCGTCGCAAAATTGAGTTCCGCTCAGCGCCTTGTGTTTTCCTAGGTTACCCCGCCTCTTTTAGATGGTATAGGTGCATGAACCTCACTACTGGAAAGACCTTTATCTGTCGCCATGTGCGCTTTGACGAGAGTTGTTTTCCCTTTGCTACAAGTGCTTCTACACAAGTACCCCGTTGTGACACGGGGACCACACCATGGGCCTCCGGGCCGGTTGTACCGTATGGTGGACCACCACCCACATCACAGGCCGCACCCGTGCCACTCATCGGGCCTGAATCACCTCTAAATGAGGCTCCTTTGGCTCGGATCGATGCGCCCCCGGTGGCTCGAGGACGACCACGTGGTCGTGGTACACGGGCACGGGCCCCGCGTGTTCGTGTCATCCAGTCCCGTGACCACGTCATGAGACTTCGACACATGACACGTGACACCGGAGAAGAGTTGCAAGCTCTCACCGCAGTTGCTGATCCAACGTGTTACTCTCAAGCCGTAGATCACCCACAATGGCGTGACGCTATGGATCAAGAGTTCAACGCCCTATTACACAATAACACGTGTCAGCTTGTACCCGCTAAACCCGGCATGAACATCATTGGATGCAAGTGGGTCTACCGGACTAAGCGGAAGGCAGATGGCTCGATTGAGCGTTATAAAGCACGCCTGGTGGCCAAAGGGTTCAATCAGGTAGCTGGAGAAGACTTCTTTGACACCTTTAGTCCTGTAGTCAAACCGACTACAGTACGCATGCTCTTTTCCTTTGCTGTTTCCCGTAATTGGACTCTACGCCAGCTTGACGTTCACAATGCTTTTCTGAACGGACACCTGGCTGAAACCGTGTACATGCGGCAGCCTCCGGGATATGAGGATACAACTAATCCTGATCATGTCTGTCATCTTCAGAGATCTCTATATGGTTTAAAACAAGCCCCTCGGGCATGGTTTAAACGTCTGCATGATTTCTTATTGTCTACAGGGTTTTGTGCTTCCAAAACAGACGTCTCTCTATTCCACTACACTAGTGGTGAGTCACGTGTGTTTTTACTCGTCTATGTCGACGATATCATTATGATGGGCAACAATGCTTCTTTAGTTGACACCATCCTGCAGCGATTGTCTACAACTTTCAAAATCAGGGACTTGGGTACACCTAGTTTTTTCCTCGGGATTGAAACTATCAAGGCGGGCGATTCCCTAGTGCTGTCTTAGCGGCGGTATATGGGTGATCTCTTGAAACGTGCAGGTATGACAGAGTGTAAGCCACTGGCCACTCCAGCTGCTGTCACCCAACCTGTCTCTCCACCGACTCAACCCTTTGAGAACCCTACACAGTACCGGCGTCTCGTTGGTGCCTTACAGTATTTAACCATCACACGTCCGGATTTGTCATACTCTGTGAATCGGCTTTGTCAGTTTATGCATGCACCAACTGATGAGCACTGGGGTCTTCTGAAGCGGGTCCTTCGGTATGTCAAGGGATCTCAGGACCATGGCCTCCGCTTATCGTGCTCCGAGTCCACCGACATACATGCCTTCTCCGACTCAGACTGGGCTGGCTGTCCGATCGATAGGAAGTCAACCAGTGGTTACGCTGTATTCATCGGGACTAACCTTGTGTCCTGGGTCTCCCGCAAGCAACGGACAGTGGCCCGATCATCGACCGAGGCTGAGTACAAGGGTCTGGCGGACGTTTCAGCCGAAGTTACTTGGATAGTTTCCCTACTTCGTGAGCTTGGTCTTCACTCCGGCAAGCCGGCTACTCTATGGTGTGACAATCTCGGTGCTACGTATCTCTGTGCCAATCCGGTGTTCCACGCTAGGACCAAACACGTCGAGATTGACTACCACTTCGTACGGGACAAGGTGGCATCGGGTGATTTCCTGGTCAATTTTGTCTCAACCAAGGACCAGCTGACCGATATCTTCACTAAACCTTTACCCGCTGCTTGCTTTGGATCGTTACGTGACAAGCTCAATGTTGTCGCCCTCCAACCTTGTGCTTGAGGGGGTGTGTGAGTAATATTATATTTCTGTACATAATATTATATGTGGATAGTGTTTAGTTTGACTTAGCTATCCTAGACTATAGGAGTAGATTACGTTAGCTCTATCTCCTTAGGTTGTATTATTGGTTCCTCTCTGTTCAGTTAATTCAATTACGATTATTCTCTCACCCATCATATTTACCAATCGTCCAATATCTTTGGGTTACATTATAATTAAAAAAAATTAAATTTTTACTACATCTAAATTACTTAAATTATGAATTTGTTTATCCATAATAATTTATTCAACAATAATGGTTGAACTAAATGAGAGCAAAACACCTAAAGGACTGGTACCGTTGATTCATTCATTGATCTTGTATATATCTGCATTCATTAAATATATTAGAACACTTTGCAACAAAAATACTTTGTTACTATATTTAAAAAAAATTTAGTAACAATTATAATGAATCTCTTATATTACATTGTATTCATATACTATGAGTTACATATTTAAATAAAGGGATAAGGTACAAACAAGCCATCCAACTATTTGGGAAATGACAATTAAGCCATCGAATTGAAAAAAGCTCCAAAAACACCCCTGAACCTGTAAAAATGAAGCAATTAGCATTTTTTGTAGGAAAACTCCCAATTTTTCTTGCATAAATTGCCAAGTGTATATTTTTTTCAGATGTGAATTTTTTTTTTTTTAATTATAATCCAACATGGATTAATTGTGTAGCCAAGGTGGACTGTGAGAGAAACCTTCTGTTTATTATAATCCATCATATCTTTAAGATCCAGTCATCCAATACATCCTGCAAGCCGGCATCCAGATTCATTGTTTACACGAGTGCGGTGGACGCGGTGGCTATGTAGAGGGCATAGAATATCGAAAATGGTTGGGCGCGGCAAGGTGTCGTTCATCATGGGAGGGATAGACCAAGAGCCACTGTGGCCTTTATAATCCAACGTGGAAAATAAAATTACACTTGGCAATCTGGTCAAAGAAAACTTAGAGTTTACTTGTAAAAAAATGTTAATTGCTTCTTTTTTTCAAGTTCAGTGGTGTTTTTGGAGCTTTTTCTAAGTTGATGGTTTAATTGTCATTTCTCAAATAGTTCGGTGGCTTATTTGTACATTTTCTCTTAAATAAACAAATTCGACATTAAATTATTTATATGTATGAACTTCTCATATATAATATTGCATTGATATACTTTTAAATATTTATTTAATTATAAACATTGGCCATTATGACCCAGTCCTGATGGATTAGCATTTCTTGTAATTTTGGTCGAATAATTTCACACCAACATAGCTAAGCTGTAAGATGTTATGACAAAACTTGTAATTCATAATCAATCCATTTTCGTGACAGTACAGCAGTTAATTAGTTTCGCCACCACCATCGCGTGTTCGAATGTATATAATTGTATAAAAAATGTACGCAATTATATAAAATAATGTCCATAATTATATACCAAAATGTACGTAATTGTATAACATTCGGTCAAACCTAAGTTCACCGACAATCGAGTCAAGCCATCTGAATGGTGAGCTTACCATTCGGATAAAATTATACGAAAATTTGGCATAAACTTAGCTTGCAAGGCCAACCAAGTGCAACAAGAAAGAGCCTCTATACTATACAATTCAATATGTTTTAAAAAGGCTCTTGTATATATAGCGGTGCAAACCCACTTCCCAAATCAATATGGGGCAAAGCTTCTTTAAAACATTTCCACCTTCATTTTCCAACACAAATGGGTATACTTTGAGAATCAATTTCTCATTCACTCATTACTCGTTTTGAGCGTACAATATATCAATATCTTCGTCTCACTACGAAGAACATAACTCTACTTTGACCCAGGGACGGAGCCAGAAATTCGGTTGAGGGGGGGGGGGGCGAAGAAGTAGGGACGGATTCATAAATCTTTTTCAGTAAAGACGAAACACTGTTGAAGCCAACTATAAAAACTATAATTAATGCCAAAATTTGAACCCCTATCATTTATCATAACCCAGCATGTGCTTAACCAACTCATCTAAATAAACTCTTGTTAACATTTAATAGTTTTATTTTACTAATACTAACACATATAATATATATACATATATAGATACAAAAATTATATATGGAGTGGGGGTGGGGGTGGAGTGAGGGGGGGGCAGCGGCCCTCCTGCCCCCCTTTGACTCCGTCCCTGCTTTGATCCGACCCAAATCGAAAGTGGACCTCACTAATATTTGTACCACAAAATAGCCACTTTCCATGTTATTTTCTTGTTATTTTTCCAACAAAATTTACGGAGGAAGAATAGAAACTTATACATGTATTCAATTAAATTAGGAGAATAGATAAGAATGATGGAAATATGGAAATATGAATTGAAGATTGATGTTGGGAGGCTGGAAGAAGTCAACGATAGTTTTTTCCATACAATTGCGAAATTGGTGTGTTTGGTTCACATAGGAATCGGAATCGGTATCAAATACTTGGTAATGGTAATGGGTTTTGGTGAAAGTATTTAACATGTTTGGTAGTAGGGTGGAATGGGAATGATTACTAACAGTAGTGCTTAAGAATGAATAAGGGAGTGAAACCCTTATTTTATTTGGGTATGAATTTTTCAATTGATGGGGATATTCGAAACCTATAGTACAGTAGTATTCTAAAAACCTATCAACCAAACAACAACAAATTGAAAATGACACGACTGAAATATTCGCAGAAGAAAATTCCAACTGTTTTACTCCTCTCTAATAAATGATACCCCCTATATGTTGAAGAAACCAATTCAATTCGAACACGCTTTCTAAGACTTGCACAATTACAGTCTATTTCATTCGCTGAAAAAAATTGATGAAATTTTGGATTTAAGTTTTAATTAAAAAAAAAAAAAAAAAAAAGTTACTTACAATATTGTGTATTGTGTTGGGTGAAGGTTTGGAGAGTTTAGTTCATCATCTTGTACTTGAAACCTGGTACCTACGTAAATATAAGAAAATAAACTTGTTCATTCGACACTAGTTATAACTTGACATAGCGATAAGCGTGATCCTGCCAATTGGTATCAAAACAGATCACGACAATTGGTATCAAAACAGATCAAGTGTGACCTGACTATTACATAAGTATAAAAGAATAAAGTTATGCCTTGACTACTTACAATAGTTGTTAACGTAGTAGTAGGCGCTTGATCTTAAAATATTAGTTTCATGTCCCTACCTAATAAAGATAAGTGACGGTAATACTAAAAAGAGTTAATTTTACTTTTGGTTCTATAACTGTTGGGGTGTTGTCAATTTGAATCCGCAACTTTTAAAACTAACAATTTAATACCCTAACTATTCAATTTTTATCAATTTTAGTCGATCTGGTGAAATTGTCAGTCAATTGTCGCCAGAATCTTTTAATTTAGTGTTAAAATTGAAGCTAATATGTGAATCATTGTTTGAATTAATAAAGAGGCAAGTGGGATGTAGATAAAAATTGGTGACAATTGGTCAAAAATTGGCCGGTAATTTGACCGTAATAACTAAAATTGATAAAATTTAAATAGTTAGGATACTAAATTGTTAGTATTAAAAGTGGTGGACTCAAATTGATATACCCCTATAATTATAAAACAAAAAATGAAATTAACTCTACTAAAAATCATGATTTTTTTCCCAAATGTGTGAAAAATAAAATAATTGAGGAGCCAAGAAATTTACTTTTTTCAAATTTGAAAAATTCATTTTCCATAAAATATGTTTTTCCTCGAATCTGAGTATTAGGACTCTATGTATATGAGTCTGTTTGGAACTTCTTATCCTTGTCACACTGTGACTCTCTACTTCTTATCATTGTCACACTGTGACTCTCTATTCTATATATTCACATCATCTAATCTCATTGTAATCAAGTTCAGAAAATATAATACAACCAGTTCTCATCTGGTATCAGTTAGCTAGGGTTTTGTGATTCATAAAATCAAGAAGATGCAGCGCTGCGATGGCAACCTTAATTACCGTGGAGGTCAGCAACGTGGCTTCGATGATCCGTGTCAAATCTGTAAAGGTTTCGGCCACACAGGAGTCAATTGTTTTTGACGCTATGATGATCCGTGTCAAATTTGTAAATGTTTTGGTCACACGGGAGCCAATTGTTTTTGGCGCTATGATGATCCGTGTCAAATTTGTAAACGTTTTGGTCACACGGGAGCCAATTGTTTTTGGCGCTATAATGATCCGTGTCAAATTTGCAAAAGTTTCGGTCACACGGGAGTCAACTGTTTTCGGCGATATTCAGGGGCTCCGGGTTCTCAGGCTAATTTGGTGTTTCAGAATGGTTTAGTTGCTAAAACCTCATCAAATTCTCATACTTGGGTTCCGGACACTGGAGCCACAAATCATGCAACTCCGAACATCGCTGGCCCTTTCTACATCGGAGAAGTACACTGGTAATGACACTTTACGTGTCGGTGACGGTATGGGTTTATCTATTAGTCATGTTGGTCATGCCTCTTTTAATATCCCTTCTAGATCATTTACATTGTCTGATATACTTCACGTTCCGCGTTTGTCTAATTCTTTATTATCTGTTCAGAAGTTTGCATCCGATAATAAAGTCTTTTTTGAGTTTCACCCCTCCTTTTTTGTTGTGAAAGATATCAATACCAAGGAAATACTTCTTCGGGGCAATAGTTCGGGGGGACTATACACACTTTCATTACCTAGTTTGTCTCTGTCAGCATTTATTTTCGCTCGTGCCTCGGCTTCCACTTGGCACAATCGTCTGGGTCATCCTCATGACCGTGTTCTTAGCCATATACTTCGTTCTTGTTTGGTTAGTGGGTCTCGTGATAATATTCGTTGTCATAATTCTTTATACAATACGTGTCAATTAGGCAAATCTACCCGTTTTTCCCTCCCCCGTGTTGCTTCCTCTAGTTCTCAAGTGCTAGATCTTATTTACACAGACATTTGGGGTCCTGCGCCCACTTTATCTACTTCTGGCTTCCGTTATTTTGTGATCTTTGTGGATGACTATTCCCGTTATACATGGTTCTTCCCTATGAAATTAAAGTCTGATCTTTATGTCATCTTTGATAAATTTCGTACTCTTGTTGAACAGTCCTTTAATTGCAAAATAAAGGCCATTCAGTCTGATTTAGGTGCTGAGTACAAAAAGTTGCATTCTTTGTTTGTTCAATTAGGAATTCAACATAGACAATCATGTGCCTATACACATGAACAGAATGGTCGTGTTGAACGAAAACATCGTCACATTGTTGAAACTGGTCTGGCTCTTCTAGCTCATGCCTCTGTTCCTTTGAAATTTTGGGATTTTGCCTTTGAGACTGCTGTCTATTTAATTAACAGAATGCCATCTTCTGTACTAAATAACTCCAGTCCTCATCTCCTGTTACATAAATCCCCTCCTTCCTATCTTTTTCTTCATGTCTTTGGGTGTTTATGCTACCCTCATCTTCGACCATATAATGGTCATAAGATGTCATACAGGTCTTCTCCATGTGTCTTCCTAGGTTATCCTGAGTCCTTTAGGGGGTACAGATGCATGGACTTACATACTAATAAGATTTACACATGCAGGCATGTCAGATTTGATGAAGAAGTTTTCCCCTTTGCTACTAAAACTTCTTTGCAGGATCTATTTACTCCGTTTTCTGGACCTTGGGCAGAATCTGTTCTCAGTCACAGCACACCTATTCCTGCCGTGTCCAATGATGAGCTGCCAGAACCGCCGCTACCTGCTTCATTCGAACCAGCCGTGGATCCCGGACAGGCTGCCTCGTCGGGTGATCCTGTGGAGCCTGTTGCTCAGGCGAGGCCGTCCCCGTGGGTGGTCCATCATGCCCAATATCCGTACTCACTCTATGGCCACGCGCAGCAACGCAGATGCTCCTCTTTTTTCTCTAGCAGCTCAGGTGCATCCCACGGAACCCACATGTCACTCTTAAGCTGTCAAATATCCTGAGTGGCGTGAAGCCATGGACCAAGAATTCAATGCTCTCCTGCATAACCACACATGGTCTCTAGTTCCACCCACTGCAGGTATGAATATTATTGGCTGTAAATGGGTGTTTCGTACGAAGAGAAAGGCTGATGGTGCTATTGAAAGGCATAAAGCCAGGCTGGTTGCGAAAGGTTTTAATCAGGTTCCAGGTCAGGACTTCTTCGACACTTTTAGTCCAGTGGTAAAGCCTACGACTGTAAGACTCCTTCTATCTCTAGCTTTATCATCTGGGTGGTCTATCAAACAGCTAAATGTTCATAATGCTTTTCTGAATGGTAATATGGCTGAAACAGTTTATATGAAGCAACCTCCTAGTTATATTGATGCTAACTTCCCGAATCATGTTTGTTTGTTAAAAAAATCTCTGTATGGGTTAAAACAAGCTCTCAGAGCTTGGTTTAATCGACTACATACGTTCTTACTATCGGTTGGCTTTCAAGCATCCAAGACAGATGTCTCTCTGTTCTATTACTCTAAAGACTCTGCTTTGGTTTATCTATTGGTGTACGTGGATGACATTCTTGTAATGGGAAGTGATCAAGGTATTATGTCTCAGCTCTTGTCCAAACTGTCTGCTACATTCAAAATCAGAGATCTTGGTGAACCAAATTTTTTTCTGGGTATTGAAACAATTAAGAGTGACAATGGGATTATTTTATCTCAACAACGGTATATGAATGATATTTTAAAACGGGCTGGAATGTCTGAATGCAAAACCCTTTCTACACCTATCTCTGTCTCGAAAACTGTCCCCTTCAATTCAGATCTATATGATGATCCCACACAGTACAGGAGTCTAGCTGGAGCACTGCAATATCTCACTGTCACACGACCTGACCTATCCTTTGCAGTTAATCAGTTATGCCAGCATATGCATGCCCCCACCATATCACACTGGGAGCAGCTCAAACGGGTACTCAGGTATGTTAAGGGAACAGTTGATCATGGTTTACGCATACGACGGTGCTCATCTAGAGACATTCATGCTTTCTCTGATTCTGATTGGGCTGGTTGTCCTGACGATCGAAAATCCACGAGTGGTTTTGCTGTTTTCTTGGGGAGTAATCTTATATCATGGGTTTGCAAGAAACAAAGAACTGTTGCCAGGTCATCCACTGAGGCTGAATACAAAGCTCTTGCAGATGTTTGTGCTGAGGTTCTATGGATTATGTCATTATTGCGTGAGATACAGATTCCGGGTATTTCCATTCCAAAATTATGGTGTGATAATCTAGGAGCTACATATATGAGTGTCAATCCAATCTTTCATGCGCGCACCAAGCATGTGGAGATTGATTATCATTTTGTTTGTGATCGAGTAGCTTCGGGCGATATCCAAGTCAACTTCATCTCCACAAAGGATCAACTTGCTGATATCTTCACCAAAGCTCTGCCTGGACCTAGATTTTCTTCCTTAAGGGACAAGCTACAAAGGGACAAGCTACAGGTTACTAGTATACATTGTGCTTGGGGGGGAGTATTAGGACTCTATGTATATGAGTCTGTTTAGAACTTCTTATCCTTGTCACACTGTGACTCTCTACTTCTTATCATTGTCACACTGTGACTCTCTATTCTATATATTCACATCATCTGATCTCATTGTAATCAAGTTCAGAAAATATAATACAATCAGTTCTCATCCTGAGGAATAAATTCTTTCAAAAATTTATTTTCTTGCCAACTAAAAGGGTTTCTTAAGCTACAAAGCCTACAATTAAATTAAGAGTTAATTCCAGCAATGGTCCTCCGACTATTGTGATTTTTCAAAATTGGTCCTTGTCTTTTAATTTGGACAGAATAGACCCTTGACTATCAGATCTGTTCCAGCATTAGTTCTTCCGTCAACCTTTAGTTAGTTAGGCGTTAGTTCAAGGGCTAAAATGGTCATTTCATTCGCTTGCTTTCTTCTTCTCTTTTCATTAGCGTCCATTAACGGCGAATATGTAGGAAATTAAAGAAGAAGACTGTGAGTGTCAAAATGGAAAACAAAGCAATGCAATATGGGGACAAAATACTACACTCTTAATTCCACCCTAGTTTAGGCCTCCTCTCTCCGCCTTTCATCCACCAAAGCCCACGGCTGCACCATTTTCACACTCAGCACCTCTGCTCAAATATCTCCTCTCTCGTCGGAAACAATATGGAGACTACTTCACTCTCCAAAACTTGCCAAGAACACCCTGAAATTAGGAATTCCACAGCAAAAAATTTCCAAAAAATAAAAACTGAAAAAGTCCCAAATTGATAATAGAGAATCCCCAAATCTCCAGAAGCAGAGAGCGAGAGTGGGGGGGGGGGGGGGGGGGGGGGGGGAGACAACCTTATCCATGTCGAGAGCCTTCATGAGTGCAAATGGCCTCTTCATATCCGGAAGGCTGATGAACTTCTCCCCATTCTCTCCGCGGATCTAGAAGCATCCCAGCTGGGGCTTTCCGGGTTGACCACCACGTTTATGCCGGCAACGCCTTTCTCCAACCCCTCATTCACCGTCAAAGCCCGAGTCTTGAACGAGTTGCACTGCTTGCAGTGCTCTATCGCGACGGTCTTCCCATCCCCCGACCGGCAATGAACTGAGAACTAGACCGGCGATGGTGGAGGGGAAGATGGCAAGTAATTGCCACGCCTGAGCAGAAACTTCGACAGGTTTCGGGACGACAAATAGAACCAGAAGCTCAACAGAAATAGAAATAATGAAAGGAATAGTCTTTGCGCCTTGCGGCTCCCGCTTCGGCTCAGTGGCGGTGGAGATGTTATCCCCGGAGGATGAGAAACACGTGACAAGTGATAATGGGCCTTTCGAAATTGGCTTGGAAAGGGCGGAAATGAGTGGTTTATGTTTGAGTATAGGAAGTTTTGGCGCGGAAAGAGACGAAATTGGGCGGAGAACGGTAACGGTGGCGGGGAGGTTGGAAGGTAGAGAAATGGAGGGACGTGATCGGAGACAATGGAAGGATATAGGAGAAAATGAAGTGGATGAAGATGGAAAGTGAAATGGCAGTCTCCATATTGTTTCCGGCGAGAGAGAAGATATTTGAGCAGAGGTGATGAATGTGAAACGCAGTGGTGGGCTTTGGTGGATGAAAGGAAGAGAGATGAGGCATAAACCAATCATTTAGAGTACAGTGTAGTATATTGTTGCCATGTTGCATTGTTTTTTTTTTTTTTTTTTTTTTTTTTTTTTTTTCATTTTGACACTCAGAGTGGTTCTTCTTTAATTTTCTGTACATTCACCGGTAGGGGACGTTAAGGAAATGAGGAAGAAGAAAGAAGCTAATGAAATGACCATTTTAGCCATTACACTAACATCAAACTAACGGAAAGTTGACGGAAGGACTAATGCTGGAACAAATTTAATAGTCAAGGGTCTATTCTGTCCAAATTAAAAGACAAGGATCAATTTTGGAAAATCACAATAGTTGGAGGACCATTGCTGGAATTAACTCATTAAATTAATATATGTTTCACACGCTCTCTACGACTAATACATTATATATATACCCAACAATCTTTTCTTAATTTGTGTTTATAGACATAGAATTTCACAACACAAAACACATAAATTCATAACATGATACACATTACTAATTTGTTTCAAGTATAGAATTCATACTCTTACGGTACAAAATTTCATAATATAAAACACAAAAAGTTACAATACAAAACACATACGCATAGACCAAGCTCCACAATGCAGTGTGAACCCTAACCCATGGTATAAGAATTGAACATAGCTAAGCAATAAGATTTTATGACAAAAGTTTTAATTCATAATCAATCCATTTTCGTGACAGTACAGCAGTTAATTAGTTTTGGTTTCAAAGTAATTAAAACCGGCCGATTCATGAGAAACATAAGAAAATCATCTGTTCAAATATTGTGTGTATTATACTGTCCACCTCTTTTCGTTCTCAAATAATATTCCTTGCTACATCATAGAATGCATTAAGTAACCATATTACACATAGTAACTATACCAATCCATATTTCACATGGAAGATTTGAATTAAATGCCAAATTGATGATCAACGAATAGTATCTGCAAATGAGTTCTGTGATCGGCTTCGATTTAATGTGAGAAAATACTCTATCAAAATTTTTCTCATCCTACCAGTGTTAAGTTGTCAGCTATCTTCGGCGTTTTGATTCTTTTCGCATCTCTGCCAGGTAGCTCTCCAGATTGGATTTCTGCCACAGTTGTCTTTGAATAAGGTCTTCTTTTGTCGATTCATCTGAACAATGAAAAGCAAATGAAAACCCCCACATTAGTGGCATACCTATATCATGAACTCGCCAACAAAATAATGCTGGGATAATCACGATCATGACAAATTGACAATGCCATCTGGCCTCAAGAGTGGATTTATATTTCTCCAAACTAAGATATAATGTTTTCATGGAAAATGACTAGGTGCTAATGAACGATAGAAAGTCTTACCAATGTATTCCCATGAATCCAAAGAAATGCCTAGAGAACTTCGTGTCATGTAGGAAGCATCTTCCCAAGAGTATGGAGCTCGTTTGATTTTGTACCTCCAGAACCAACACCCATGCCACAATAGAAGCTGTAAAAGTCATAACTTCTATGGTTAAAGGTTCCAGTGAGAAAGTAACGAGACTTTATATCATTTTTAAAGAGCATTTACTCGCACTGACAACTTAATTTCATTTCATAATACAAGGACATGCACTAACCTTTCCGATAGTGTAAGGAAGAAGCAAGAAGCGAATTCCAAGAAGTCCCCAGACGGACGGTTTTTCAGCACCCTTTATCTGCAGATTAAGTTCCTTGCTGAGATCTTCCTCCACATTCCTGTCACAAGTAAGAAACTCAACTGATCGCCCCACATTAACCGAGAGCCCAATAAATTACAAAACAAGCATCAGCTTTAGACACAAAACTATTGCTTGGCTGAACATGAAGTAACAGTGACAAAACCATTAAAATTTAAAATAAAATCATACTTATCCAACTGTTTGGTACTCTTCTTTTTACTTGTAACACCCCCACTGCGTTCAAGTTCCAAAGCACGTAGCTTATTTTTGTACGCTGGTGTTTTCTTGACCATGTCAATAGCCTGAAACAAGTGCACAACTTGATAGAGTATACTATTGATAGAAATATTGTATTTTAAGAATAATTAACAAAGATCCTTTATATAGGACTGGTATAGCATTGAATAATACTTGTACTCTATTATACTAAACAAGAACTCTAAGAGTTAAAAAGGCATAGTCCTATTCAAATACTCTAAAACAACTCACCTGAGTATGTCATCTAAAAATTAGTTACAAATTAAGTTGCAAATATAATGTGCATAGGAGTTTGTCATCAAAGAGCTAATAGCAAAGAAATAATTTGCAGTCATCATATGTATATCCGTATTGGTATATGTGACCAAAGAATTAATTTGTGGTCATCATGTGTGTAGGTATACACTAAGTGAGGAATTGTTCTAATAGTGTATGCAGAAAAAATGGTTACAAGATGGACATGTGAGGAACATCTGTGTTTAACCCTTAGATAAGAGGCCATTGCATGTGGATGGTGATCCTATTAAGGGCATGCAAACAAAAAAAGTAGTTTAGAATCACCAATTTGTAGGGTATTTCAGTCTAGGAAGAAAAACAAAATCAGAAACCATGACAGTGTATTCTTTATTTTTTCATGCCAACACATCAAGATCTGCTTTCCATTAAAAGTAATGACATAAAAACAGATTGAACCTGAAAGGCATGTGGTTACCTGATTATACCTTGTCCATTGATTGAGATATTGAAATAACGAGAGAATCAAAATAAGACCAATAAGGACAGCACGAGGATCCTAGAAATAAGAAAAATAAAAAATAAAAATTGTTATGCAGGTAACTGAAATACAAATTTGAAAGCTAACAGCCGCAGAGGAGGTCAGGAAGAAGGCACTCACGGTTTTGTGACCATAGTAAGCACGGTAGTATTGTGCTGTATTGTAGAATACCTGACAAAGAGGAAACATCACTTCAGCGTCCCACATCATTATAAGCCAATTTACAAGTTCAAACAAATTTTTGATTTCCCCCTCAATGCAGAAGTCAATATGTCAAAAAGATTGCATGCAGAACTATAGCATCTTTTAGCATGAACAAAGTAACATGCTTATCACTGAATTTCCATATTGCAAAAGGAAATTCACAAGTGATATAAAAGCAGAACACATCATCAGCACTACTTCATACAAAATTATCACAAGGAGTTGCAACCAACCTCCTCTGGGTGGGCAATTGCATAATCATACTGTTCCCTTGTGACTTCATCTTTCAGTATCTGCAAGAAAAGAACCAACCGGTTTAATACCACCCACAAAGGCAAAGTTTCTCACCCCTAACTTACCAGTCAAATATGGTGACACTTTGTTAATAATAAACATTATGATATAACAAAAATACAAGCGAGTTGAGAATAAAGTACTGCTCTATATGCTTAAAAAATGATCTGATTCATTTTCGTCTGAGACAAGATAGTAGAAACTACAGATTTTAACATCCATATAGAGGGAGATCCATCAAGAAACTACTACATTTTGTCCACTAACAATGTATGTTAAGTGGCAAAGATAGCATCTATTACTTACTGGCAAATTAGATACTACATTTACTATTTTATGAAATCTATTATACAAATGCACAACAGTCAAAGAAATTACCAGTGTAAAACTGAAAATAATCCGTCAGAAAAAATTGCAGAGTTAAAAGTAATCACCTCATAGGCATTCGCAATTTTTACAAAGATCTTCCTTGATTCTGGATCAGGATTTTTATCCGGATGACTAAACAAAGAAATTGAAGAAAGAAATCAATAAATTGAAACTATACATACCTAAAAGTCCAAAAGATTACGGAGTAATAGAGAAAGAAGAGCTTACTATTTCAGCGATAGCTTGTAGTAAGCCTTTTTAATTTCAGAGGAATTAGCATTTTGAGAGACTCTGAAAACAACAACAAAACAATTGATAAGTTAATCAAATAAAATCGATTCACTGCAATGCAAAGTAGAGGAAAGGATCGGAATAGAAAATCACCCAAGGACATCGTAACAGTCGTCTTCGTCGCAGTAAATGGAGATCGAAGGTTGGATCAGAAGAGAGAGAACGAGAATGACGGTGAGCGCGGACCAACGGATCGCCGCCGCCGCTGCCCCGTCCGTTCGCGCCATCGTCGTATATCCTTCGTTGCGTCTCGGAGGAAGTGAGATTTTGTTCCAGCCTATCAGGATTCAGGAGGATCGGAGGAGGGAGGCTCCGGTGGCCAAAATGACATTTGTATCCTTAAGTCGTTGACCGTTCTTTCTTTAGTTTCCCAATCGGCTAATGGCTAATGCTAGTAGCTCAGCTTGATCCAAATCGGCCCATAAACTTGAATTGCAATCGTTATGCCTTGGACCCGTGTCCAGCATGCTTGCTGGACACGGGTAACAGTGCCGTTAGGCACTGTTATCTCCTTTTTTTTTTTTTTTTTTTTTTTTTTTTAAAAAAAAATTCGGATCACTTTGTTATAGAAGTATATGTTCATAATTTTATTACTATATGTTAATAACTATACATTCATAACTCCATAACTGTACGTTCATAACTCTATAACTGTACATTCATAACTCTATAACTGTACATTCATAACGTCATAACTGTACATTCATAACTCCATAATTGTACATTCATAATTTTCGAAGCTCTATGTTCACAATTTTAGAGCTCTATGTTCATAATTTTATCACTATATGTTCATAATTGTAAGTTCATAATGTTAGAGCTCTTTGTTCATAATTCGATCAATAACTGTACATTCATAATTCCATAACTGTAGATTCATAATCTCATAACTGTAGATTCATAACTCCATAACTGTAGATTCATAACTCTATAACTGTACATTCATAATCTTCGAAGCTCTATATTCACAATTTTAAAGCTCCATGGTCATAATTTTATCACTATATATGTTCATAATTGTAAGTTCATAATGTTAGAGCTCTGTGTTCATAATTTCATAATTGCATAACTGTACATTCATAACGGCATAACTGTACATTCATAACGGCATAACTGTACATTCATAATCAAAAAAAAAAAAATAACGCCGTTAACGCCGTTAACGGCAAAACACGCGCGAATTTTTTTTTTAACTAAATGACGCGTTTTTTTTAAAAAACGGCATCGTTTTGGGCCCGTGTCCACAATTCAATGTGGACACGGGTCCAGAGCATAATTTGCCCTTGAATTGTAGCACGAGCCCATTTGATCGCCTGAGCCCAAATCGAGATTTAAAAGTTAAAAAAAAAAAAAAAAAAAAAAAAAAAAAAAACTATTAACCTTCTTCTTATTAAACGAAAATAATAAGAATCCGTTTGAAAAGCAGGAAAAATGACAAAAATAAGTCATTTTTCAGAAAATATATTTATTTTTGGTGCTTGGTTGCATTTTGGAAAACTTGGTGTGTTTAGTTTATTTTCTGAAAAAATGAGTAGAATTGTATGTTTAAACATTTTGGCGAAAAATGACTTCCTCCTAATTTTGGCGGAAGTCATTTTTCACCAAAATGGCTTCATTTTCCCCGAAAAATATTTTTCGTTGACTGGATTTTCATGTTACATTCAAACACTAAAAACTCGGAAAATATTTTTCAGAAGTCATTTTTCGGGTTTCCAAACGGACCTTAAATGTCCTGAAAGCGATTATCATGGCACATAATTTTTAGAGTTAATTTTATTTTTATCCTAAATTTATAGGTGATAGTTCATTTTTAGTCTTTTTTTTAGAACATCCTTATTTGGTCATAGTATTATTGTGGGATGACCACCATTTTTAGTCTTTCATCAACAAAATTATTAAAATATCGTTAAATACAAAGACATTTCAATTTTTTATGTTTATTTTTTGAAAACATTCATAATTGAACACCGAAATGTCTTTGTATTTAACAATATTTAAACTGTTTTGTTAATAAATGACAAAAAATGGTCATACTACAATAATACTAGAACCAAAAGTGAATGTCCTAATAAAAAAGGACTTAAGGTGGACTGTCACCTATAAATCTAAAACAAAAAAAAAATGAAATTAACTCTGATTTTTAATTTATATCAAAATGTCTTGAATTCAATTATTGTCCGTACATTCTTGATCGAGCCTGTTACACATTACTTTTTTTTTTTTATCTACATCACCATTAATATGAAATTTACATCTAAAAATGTTTAATTGCATTCTTTTAAAAGTTCAAGTGTATATTTAGAGATTTTTTCTCATTTAAGGATATAATTTAATGTTTTCAAAGAGTTCGATAGCTTATTTGATCTGTTTCTTTATTTGAAACATATACCCTTTAAAATTATATGAGGGCATTGTGTTTGTGATAGATTATATTACATAGTTAAGCAGTTGAACAATTTTTATTTTAAATACGCAACAAATCGGTCTCGAAGTCTCTTATAAAAAATCTCAAACTTATATCACCACACTACAGAATCTTTGGCATGGAATATTTTGATTATATATGGCTGTGGTGGACAATTTTTTATTCAAACGTGCCGTATTTTTTGCGGTTGCCTACCCAAAGCAAGCTTCCATAGAAGTATAGAACAAATTAATGGCAATGGACCACGACAAACAGCCAACACAATAAAAAGACATAATGCATTTACACATTGCATCTTGTACATACAATTCAAGATTCCCTATGTTTTGTCAGTATCTTTTCTGCCTTGTTATATGTTGGAATTTTCATCATACAATGATATTTAAGTGATTATGTTGGTGGTACAAATATATAAAGAGTTCACTTTCGATTTGAATAGGGTCAAAATGGATTCTGATTCTTCGCAGTGAGACAAAGAAATTGGTATATTGTACGCTCAAAACGGACGGATAGTGGGTGAATGTGTTGAGCATATAACCATTAATGTGCAATTCAACTATCAGCTTAGGCTTTTAGTTGAGATGGAACACATGCTTCAACTAGAAATTAATTTTCAAAGTAGACCTAAATAAAAGTAGAAAGGCTTTATAAAACCACTCGTCTCATACGAGTTTGAGAGATGGGTTTGCACCATTATACATCACAAAAGTATTTTAAAGGCATGTTGAATTGTATAGTATAGAGATTTTCTAGTGTATGTAGGGGTGCAAATCAAATTCCAACATGAGCCGCATATGCTTTAAATTAAAATTCTAGAAAAATAAATTCACACACACACACACACACACACATATATATATATATATATATTTGGTATATCCACTTAGATTCTAAATTTGACTTTCAAAAAATAGCTGATTGGCCTTCTTGGTTTACCTCCTTGTGGTTATTTGCCGGCGGGATCACAAGGCAAAATTTATCCAATACAAATCATTAAGTAGTGATTTCATGTTATCCAAAATTAATAAATAAAGTTAGATTCATAACAAAAAAAGATGTGTGGTTTGGAGGTGGATATGGCAAAATTCTACTGTTAGCTCAAGATTACATCAATGGCTAGACAAGCTAAGACAGACAACCTCAGAGGCCTTCATGGTTTCTGTACGTTTACAATGAATTGTAGATTCTGTTCTAATAGCAGAATTTCAGCCATGCATGATGGTTTAATTTAGTCCTAGCTAGCTAGCTAATCAAAGGGCACTTTCATCTCCACTGTACTTCCCCACAGACAGTGATAAATATATCAGAACCAGTGTTCCCATGCTCGACCTGTCAAGAATCAGAAACTCAGAACAATTGCACAAGTTTCATCATATTTCTTAGAAAACAAGTGTCAAACAGGTCGCTAAACTTATCACTTTTTGTGCAATTGAATCATGAAACTTAAAAAAGTATCCAATTAAACCATTAAACAAATAAAATATGTGCAATTGCGATATTCTTTTATTTTTTCATAGTAGAATTCGATCATATAATTTAATGATTTGTACTAAAAATGGCCCTTTTCCTCTACCTACCATATACTGGTTGAGATGAAAGATTAAAATGTTTTCAACTTAAATTGTATTAAAAGAAATCATAAAAATGTCTGGATTACACTTGCACATATTTTACTTGTTTGATAGTTCAATTATTGTACACTTTTTACATTCAATGATTCAATTATACAAAAGCTATAAGTTCAGTGATCTATTTGATATTTTTTTGTATTTATTATAACCGGACAATGTAAGGGGAGTAATGAACTTACAGGGTGGCAAAGAAGAAGAGGATCCTTCTTGGATCAAGTATCCAAGAAGCCAACGATGGCCGCCGGAATCCAAATCTCTTGCCACCGGCGGCCATGGTTTTGCTTTCTAATGGGTTGGCGCCGGCGGCGATGATGGTTACTGGAGCAGAGTGGTCGGCGCCGGCCCCCACTACCACCACCATGGGCTTTTCCGGCGTGCCAGCACCATGCAAAACAGCTGCAATTTGTAACACAAACATACAAAAACCATTAATGTGGTTGATTGGCTCTATTATCTGCCATAACTAAACCAGAATAATATAATATAATAATTTTCAAGAATTTCCATGCATATATGCATGTGCTGCAGCCAGCATCCTAGTATTGAATCCCAACAACAAAGGAATGACAGCCTGTCTGTGTGACAACCACGACATAACATTAAAATTTCCAAATTTCCAATCTTATAAATCTTTGGACTCTCATGCATGCATGTTGCAGACTATATTTAAAAATAAAAAATAAAAAAATTGGATGATGAGAAAAATCTACAGCCATTACTAGAGGAGGTGCTTGGACATCAGCCTACAAAGCCCATAACTATTCAACTCAGATCGAGAAACCTAATAAGTCACTTCCACAGAAAATCGAATTTGAAACTTTGTGATTGCTAAGTCAACCATTTGACCAACTTGGCTAGAGTTGTCTGAATTGCAGGTTCTTCTTCAATTCAAATATGCTATTTTACAGGTTACAATTTTCTTGCGCAAATGAAGGCGTGATTGACATTATTAATTACAGTAGTTAATCATATTATTATTATTATTATTAATTTAATCAACCTAGGCCTAGCTATAAAGCATATACATCTAGAAAACTTCCAAAATGAATATATAAAATCATGAAATTTTAAGAATGATGAGAAGGAGATTACAATCTGATGTGCATGTGGTTGGTATTTTGAGCATGTGAAACAAAGAAGACAATGGGATGTTGATTTGTCATCTTCTTTTTGGGGAGACAATTCGAGATTGAGATGTTTTGTAAGGTATTTAATGGTAGCGATTAGGCGTGGTCTACAGTCCTATTCATGTAAGATTCGAATTTTAGTTTGAATATTCAAAATTATTGGGGTACGATACTTTTCGACCTAATATCATAATTAAATTAAATAGTATAAAATCAAGTGATCATACAGGTCTATATAGGCCAAACACCTTGTACTCAGATGGCATGTAGTAATTCTCTTATATAGGAGGTCATGAGATCGAGCCTCAGTGGAAGTGGAGGTAGTGTTGTTGACTCTTTGTACTTCAACAGGTTGAGAAAAGGGTCTATATAGGACTTGGTTGAGAAAGGGGTCTATATAGGACTTTAAACCAACTTGGTTGGCGTGAGTGACCATTAATCTGGCTAGTACTTTGCCCGATCCGGAAAAAAATTGAAACGAATAATAATCCACCAAAATTTAAGCAAATTAGCATGTAAGCATTTTTATTCTTTGTTATCTTTTGTTAATTATGTTTGATTGAGGTGACACGGTTTCTTGGTTGTACCCTGCGTGTGGGCTGGGGCTGATAGTTGACCTTTTAGCACGTTTTGGCCGAAAAAGCAGAAAAAATATATATATTAAAGATAAATCTAGATGTAGACAAAATATTTTTTTGGAATGGACTTACGAGAATATATATGATTCATTCTATGTTGGAAAAGTTAATGCTGTTAATTTATTGATTACATAATATTCTCCACTTATTCTCTAGCCAAAACACATTATATTAGTAATTAGTTTTCGGTTAAGCTCGTGGTATAATACTTCTAGTACAATTTATCTATTCATTGAACTATTAAGTAAAAGCAGGATTCGCTCAGTAGTTTATATATTCAGATAGTGATTGTAAGTTTTTTATCGTTACTCAAAAAAGAGATGCATATATAAGTATATGAGGAAAAAGAAAAATTTGCACACTCATATACTAAAACTTATTGGAATACCCACAAATTAAATACCTACAACTTTGTTGCCCTAAAAAGTTAAAATGCAAGAGAGAGAGTATGATGGGCACCTCTAGGAGAAGTAGCTATGAGATTATCAACGGCAGCATTTGGATTGGGGATCTTCTTCTCCACACTTCTCATCTGTGACCCTTTTCTTGACAGGTTTCTCTGCAACTTCTTATCCAAAAAAGGCATAAATTATTATTATTAACTAAAAAGCAACGCAACCTTAGTCATGAATCATGATAAAGACAAAGAAAAAAAGTAGATAAGCATTACGCTAGCTGTAGCTTTTAACAAACAAAAAAGGGAAAGGTGTTTGATTGTTCCCAGAGGAAATTCTTTATTTAGAACATTTGGATAAGCTTCCTGAATCCTCTTTTCCTTTCCTAGGTTTCGTTGTGATGTCATTAAGCTGACATTTTTGTTGCTACTAAGAAAATTCATAATCTGAAAGTGTTTAAGGATGAATTTTGTTTTGTAGATTAAGTCCGAAAATTCATAGCTAATCAGTTCAAATTAAGAAGATTAATAGGTTTCAAACTAGGTTACCTATAACTGATTGACTTAAATTAAGAATATTAATAGGTCATTTTTGCTAAAAATTGAACTTATAACTTTGTGATTACCAAATCAATGGTCTAACCAACTTGACTAGGGTCGGTCCATTAAGCTACATTTTGTTGTAGGGGAAGAATACATTTTGTTGTAGGGGAAGAATGAAGATGATGATAAAGATAAGGATGGAGAAGTTACATACAGTGATTCTTGAATTTGAGTTTATGTCTTTTTCAAAGCGTTCCATGTCCACAACAAAGCTGTCAGGCTTTGTGCCGCTTGTGAACGGTAATCCATTAATCTGGTGGTCGGAAGAAGATGACAGTTTCTGGCCACCATTTCCTTCAAATTCTTTGCCCAACCCTTTCGATCTTGAATTCTCAGCCTCCATTACACTTCTCCTGTCAAACCAAAACATAAAAATTTGCAGAAAATGATATGAAAACTTGAGAGCAAATAAAGGGTAAAAGCTAGTTCATTGCAAGACTCCATCTTTTCTCCTTCCTCACTCCATTAACAGACTTACCACTCCAAACAAAATCTCCTTTCTTCTTCTTCTTCTTCTGGCCTCTGGGTTTCCTTTCAAGTTAAGAGCTTAGCATGCATGGATATGCATATATGTGTGGGTAGGTGTGGTGTATAATAATATATATATATAGTGGAAGCAAGATAGAATCTGTGTGTGTGGTGGGCGATAATGAAGAAGAATTTGGAGTTGAATTCGAGAGGGGAGAGAGGTGGAAAGTGGGAGAGATTGAATTGAAGGGTGATTGGAGAGAGAAGTTTGAGGAAATATGGAACTCTTCTTCTTTATTAATAGCAGGAAGTGAATGACTGAATGTTGGGTTGTCAGTGGGGGAATTCCTGAGGATTTGCTTTTATCCGTTTCCGTGTTAATTTTTGGACCTTTTATTAGGAATTAGGAATAAAAAAAAAACTTTAGATTAAAATAATTAGAGGACTGCTATATTGATATTACCCTTAAAATTTTCATCAAATCTTGACATGTCATACTATTATTACCCTATTTAAGCGAGAACTCTTAAATTAGCTAATAGTATAGTTGACATTAAAACTTTTTTTTTTTTTTATGTCACAATATTTATCTAAGTCAAAACAACAGTCTCATTATTTAGCATTTTTTCTTGATTCAATTTGAACTTATTCAGCACTATATCTACACAAGAGGGATGAAAACGTAACATATCAAATCAAATACAGCATAAAATGAAAATGATTGCAATTATTCTCACTAGTATTTAGTATTTTGGACTTTATGTTGTATGTACCATATCAAAATAAACCATTTACATTGTGGTCCATTAAAAGTCATAGTGGTCACTATAACTTGACCAAAAATAATATTCATATACTAGACTCGAGCATATATAACCAACCATTATAGATTAAAAAGAAAAAGAAAAACCTCTTACCCAAAAATTGAAGAAGGATATCCGTGTCACTGTTGACACTTAGATATTGATAAATATTGATTATTTTTAATATTAATATATTTGAATATATTTTGGATAATATTGATATTATCTAATTCTTTTAATTAGATAATATCAAAAGAGTTTGAGCTTATCAAAACCCTTCTATCCTATAATTATAAATATATATGACATCTCATTTCTATAAAATAATCCTAGTAAAAGCCCTTCTTCCAATTCCAATCATGTCAGTTGATCCAAACCTCCATTGAACATCAAGCCACTTGAATTATAAAGTGTTCAAGGCATCCAATTGAAGATTAGAATCAGAGAACATCTAGAGATCTTGTACCCACACCGCATTTATACTCGATGTAATAGAATTTTAATTCAATTTTCTTTGTTCACAGTCACGAATATAAATTTTGAGATATGCTAATCTAATTATAAGATTAGAGGTTCAACTCTTATAAAAGGTCACCATATTAAAGAGTTTTAATTTTTTTCGGAGTAAAAGTTAAACTTTTGCGAGTGTCATCCAAACAAAAAAAAAAAAGAAAAGAAAAAAAATATATGAATATGACTTTTTTTAATATTAAATGTTATACCCTATACTATAATAATAATAATAATAATAATAATAATAATAATAATAATAATAATAATAATAATAATAATAATAATAATAATAATAATAATAATAATAATTGTTATTGTTATTGTTATTGTTATTGTTATTGTTATTGTTATTGTTATTGTTATTGTTATTGTTATTGTTATTATTATTATTATTATTATTATTATTATTATTATTATTATTATTATTACACCTCTTTATCCCACCATCTTTATCAAGTAATCTTTTGGGAAAAATAATAATTAAAAAAACAAGGGATATTCAAAATAAGAATAAAATAAATAATAATTTAATTTATACTGAACGTAATTTGCGCCTGATCGATCACTTTAAGCTGTATGTACTGTGTACAGCTAAGTAATGATGAGTGATATTGATGGACCGAAGTAATTATAATATTATTATTTTTTGTATGCATATTTGGTACTGAATATAATATAAACACTAAGCTGCACTCTACATCTAATAAAAACCAGGTTGACCAGAAAAACCAGGAAGAGAGGGCACGTCACAAAATGCCAAAATAATATATATAGGTAGTTAAGTATAGTTAACCCTAGGTTATATATTATTAATGTTATTTCAAAGGTGTCGGTCAATATACTTGAAAAAGTCATTTTGTATGTAATTAATTATCAACGAATAGCAGGGTTGTTCCATTAAAAATAGGGGCACCGTCTAATAGTTTAATATGGACTTCATCTTTTTTTTTTTTTTTTTTTTTTTTTTTTTTTTGTTCCGAGATGCAATTTAAATATAATAGATTAAACTGCAAAGACAATAATAGAGAGACAAGCTAAGAACATAGGGGAAAGAGAGAACTTTTGAATATTTAAATTTTGCTATAGTGATAGAGATTTCTATTTATAAAGGTAAGAAACATGATCTCAAAAGACCTCTAAAAGATAAAAGATAGAAGTCTAGAAGATCTAGAAAATCTCTGATGAGGTAATTGAGTTCAAATCCATTTGGACTCCAAGTTATTGTATTCTATAACACAAATAAAAATGCAATTAAATTTTTTTGTCCAAATATATTCCATAAAAAAATAACAAAGAAATAATACAATTCAAAAGTTCATATAAAAGTGCCATTTTTCATTCATATTTAAATACAAAATTATTCACCAAAATTTCAATGTCTGCTTCTAATATTTTATTTTCAATTACAATTAAGACCAATCTACAAATTCAAAAAAAAAATTAAAATAATTATCAAGTATAAAAAATAATAGATTATATCTAAAAGATTTTTAAAAAAATTGAGCCCCAAAAATTGGAGGCCCTGTGCGGTCGCTCCGGCAAAACATGGCCTGGATCGGCCCGGACTAACAGCTAATTTTTCAAATATTTTTCTACAATCAACTAATATTATCAACAAATCAAACTTACTAACAACTATTTACCAAACACTCCCATAGTTTGTATCAAATATAATTAAATATTATATTCTCTAGTTATTTTGAGTATTGTGAAAACAAATATTAACAATATTTAGTATAATTCAAAATTTCAAATATCACACATACTTATATCTAGCACAAAAGGAAATGTGTCACGTTCAGTATTATAGAAATTCCTATTATTGAGCGGTTAATTTTTTCTTATTTAAACACTTTAAAAAAAAATAAAAAATTGGCCATTCAATAATGTAAGTATCATATAACTTTTAAATATAAAAATAAATAATAACTAATTTCCAACTTTGTGAGGTGCAAAAACTTCGGTGGATTAAGCTAGCAAAAATAAGTATAAGAGCTTAAATTTTGTTTTTTGTTTTTGTTTTTTTTTTTTTTGTTTTTGTTTTTTGTTTTTGTTTTTGTTTTTGTTTTTGTTTTTTTGTTTTGTTTTAGTTAAACATTTTGCGATAGTGGTCGTGGTGTGGTGGTTGTGGAGTGCGGTGGTGGTGATAGTGGTGGTGGTTGTTGTTGTGATTGTGTACGCGGGGGTTTTGGTGGTGGTTGTGGCGATGATAATAATAAATTAATAAGGGAAAATGACACTTTTTACCCCTGAGTTATATGCTTATAACATTTTTTCCCCTTCAATTGTTTAGGTAAGCACATTAGCCCCCTCAATTATTTTAAAAGTGGTGTTTTTTCCCTTGATATATTAAATTGACATTTATACCCTTAAAGTAAACATTTTATTTATTTTACTACTCCAACAAATTATTGCGTATACGTAGGGATGACCACGGTTCGGTTTGAATTGAACCGGAAACTAAAGCAATCGAATTAATAGTTTCCGATTATAATTCAAATCTAGAACCCAATATTTAAATGTCAATTTATTAAAATTATGTATCAAAAAAATTGAATCTTGAACCGTGAACCGGCGGTTCTGGATCCGATTCGCGATTTTGAACCGTCTTTATTTTAAAATTTTATTTTTTATTTTAAAATAGTCTAAATTCAACAATAAATGTATTTTATTTTTTTAGTTCAGAACATGAACCGTCCGTTCCGGTTTACGATTTTAATTAACTCTAAATATCAAATTTCGATTCTAAATTGTAATTGGAATATTTCGGTTTGGTTGCTATAGTGTTTGTTTGGTTTGAACCAAATTATGGTCATAATTTGTTGGAGAAAAAAATAAATTAAATATTTAGTTTAAGGGTAAATATGTCCATTTAACATTTTAGGGGGAAAAACAGCCACTTCAATAATTTAGGGGGGAAAAATGCTATAGGTATATAACTCAGGGGGAAAAAGTGTCATTTTCCCAATGAATAATCTATAAACTAGAAAAGAGATGAGAGAGAAAATTAAACATGAAAAAATAAAGAATAATCTAAAAATACATTTTCAGCAAAATTGAACTTCTTTCTTGTTGAGCATGATGAATAATTTTCTTTGACTTTTTTTTTTTTTTTTGATACCCAAACACTGAAAAATAAGATCGAAAAAAGTGACTTCTGAGAGCTATTTTTCGAATTTTCGAATGAACCCATAATGAATCAAAAAATTTCTCAATCTTTTACCATTTTATCACATGTAACTTTACATAGTTAATTTGACTTTATAGAGGCAAGTTGTATCGATACTAGATAGTCGGTAAATAGGGTAACTATAGTTAAATTGTCCAAACAGTTAATTTGATAACTATTCACAAAGTTCTTAGTTTGACTTGTTCTGAAGTTCTTTATTTGTCTTCTTAATTAATTTGAGTCAATTAATTATAAATAATCTAAACTAATTTATCTCCTAGTGATCTGTATTACACCAGTTAAACTTTACTAAAACACACATTCAAGTAGCGAATCGATTATGAATTTTTCCCTAAAATCAAAGTTAATAATAGCTGGGGTTAGCTAGCTAGGCTATGGCAAATTGGCAACGGTATAGCCATAATGTCATCTTAATTGCCCTAGCGGTGAAGGCACGTCGCACAAATTTTGGATCTTTTCAATAAGCTTATGCACCTCTAGTCACCCTCTATATATAGTTATGTAGCTACAATTAAACATTTATAAATCCATAAAACTCGAAGATATCCCCAAAAAGATAATAAATTTAACTTTTCCCACAATTTCGAATCCTCAAATGACGTAGGAGTGAGCTAAGTTCAAAGAAAAAAGTTTCGATTCAAAAATAGCAAAAAAAGAAGTCCAAATGCATGGATCCAGTAGAATCGTTATATCGTGGACGACCCTGGTTTTATACAATGATATAAATTGCCGATCCAGTATAGGTAGGCCTCTACGCAAGGGATAACTTTGGGAAAATATTTTAGGGCTTTTCCAAAGTCTAAAAATAAAAAATTATATATTCATAGAAA